AATTTCAAGGAGTGTGTGCGTGTGTGTGCTGCGTACGATCCTCCAAGGACTATGTAAATAAGTTTCAGATAATGTGTTTGGTGTAAAACCTGATGTAGAAAGAGGAAATTGTAAATATTATTAAAATGTATATTGTTTTTATTTAAAGTTTATTTTTATGACATACGTGTTTTACACACATATGTTGACATATACATACATACATACATACATGTATAAACGCACACGCACAAAAACATACACACAAATATAATGATGATAAAAACAAAGACATACATATAGCGATGTACACACACAAACGCATAAATACACACAAAAGACACCTACATACATAAACATACATACACACATAAAGACACACACAAACACATACTCATACACGCAAATACACATACACACACACACACACACACACACGCGCGCGCGGTGAGGAGCGGCGTGTGCGTACCATTTACACACTCTCTCTAAACAGCCAAGGATTTTGCTGAGTAAGACCCGTTCACTTGGACAGTCCGGAACCAATTCACTTTCCTGCACTTAAAATAACCGGCCCCTCCCGGTCTCCTCTTCCCCCTCCCACTCCTCTCCTCCCCCCTACCCTCTCTTCCTCTCTCCCTGCTCCCCCCTCCCACTCCCCCTCCTCCCCTCCCACTCCTCTCCTCTCCCCCCTGCTATCTCTTCCCCTCTTCCTGCTCCTCCTACTACTCTCTTGCTTCCCACTTCCCTCTTCCGTCTTCCGCATATTTCTCTTCCATCTTCGCTACCCCCCCCCCCCATTCCCACTCCTCTGCCTCTTTCTTTCCGTCTCCATCCCTCCCCCTCCCCCTCCCCCTCCCCTTCTCTCTCCCTCCCCCTTCTTACTCCCTCCTTCTTGCACCCCCTTTGCCCCTTCACATTCAGTCGCCTGACCATTTTTATCTTTCCTTTTTTCCTCCTTCACATTCACAGAAATGGATACATTTCAAGTCAGAGAGCAAAGCCGGTGGACGGCAGAGTAGATATGGTAATACTTATAAAATAGGTTAACATCGTCAGACAAACAGACTTTGTTTACCTATGCACGTAAATAAACAAAAATGAAATATAAGACTAGCAATAAATGCGGTCAAAGGAATCTGGAGAAAGTTATTTTTCAAACAAGGGAAATATTTACCGATAAACTGGTGTAATTTTTAAAAAAATCAAAGCTTACTACCTTTTTAAATCCCTATTGTTGTTTTGTTTTAGCGTTGTTCATATAACATTGTTGTTTATAGTTTCTTTGTTTTTATATCTGTTCACATTATTTATTTCCCCCTATATCCGTTTTCTTCGTATTTTTAAACTCAAATCTTCGCCCCTTTCCCTCCCTTGACAAAATAAATGAGCTCGTTTTCTTATTTTTCAATTTTCTTCCTTTCTCCTCTTATTTGCTCCTTCTCCTCCACTTGTGCTTCTCTTTTCCTCGCCGTTCACTCCTCCCTTCCCTCCCTCTATCTCTCCCTCCCCCTTTCTCCCTCCATCTCTCCCTCCCCCTTCCTCCCTCCCCCTCCCTCCTTTCCCTCCCCTTCCGCTTCCCTGCCCTCCCCCACCCCCCACCCCCCACCCTGCACCTCCCCTCTTCCCCTCCCTCCTTCCCCTCCCCTCCTCCCCTCCCTCCTTCCCCTCCCCTCCTCCCCTCCCTCCTTCCCCTCCCCTCCCCCCCTCCCTCCTTCCCCTCCCCTCCCCCCCTCCCTCCTTCCCCTCCCCTCCCGCTTCCTTCTCGTCTCCTCCCTCCGTTTCTTTTCTTTTCTTTTTTCTACGACTGATTCAGAATGTCTTAAGAACAAGAAAAAAGAAAGAGAAAGTTGCCACATAGCGCCATGCAAGAAGAGGCATGGCAGAATGCCACTTCCTGCAACATTGATTGGAACGAACTGTGTTGCAAGAGGCTGAGAACTGGAATTTAGAAGGAGAAGTAAAAGACGGGGAAGAAGAAGAAGGAAGGAGAAGGAGAACTAGAAAAAGAAAGAGAAGAAGAAAGAGGAGGAGAAGAGAAAAGGAAGAGGAAGATGAAAAGAGAGAAGGAGAAGAGGAACAAGAAAAGCATAGGAATAATAAGATAATGATGGTAATGAAATCAGTAATAAAGGATAATAATAATAACTATTATTATTATTATTATTATTATTATCATTATCATTATCATTACTATTATTATTATAAGGCAAAGAAAAAGAAAAAGAAAAAAAGGAGAATAAGAAGAATAGCGAGAAGTAGAGAAACAGGAAGAGCGGAAGAGAAAAAAGAAAAAAAAAGTCAACATAGAGAATGAGAAGAGGGATACAGGAAACGCAGAGAAGAGAAAAAGAAAGATGAACAAGTAACGGGAAAGAGAAATACAAAAAACGAAGACGCTAAAAAAGAGGGAGAAGGAGGAGGACGAAGACGATGAAGTCAGAACAGGAGAAAAAAAAAGGTTAGAATAAATGAAAAACGGGAAAGATGAAAATGATAATGGTAAATAGTAATCAAGGCAAAT